CCCTAAACCAAAAACCCCTAAACCTTCGACCCTCAAAACTTCTAGAAACCCTGAAAACACCACCATCGCCGCAAACCCTAAAGCTTGTAAACCTTAAAGCCTAAACCTTGCACCCTTATAATACCATTGTAGCACCTTCCATAACCCTACACCCTAAACCCTATTATCGAAAACCTCAAGCCCTAAATCCTAAATCCTAAACCCTGAATCCTAAACCCTAAACCCTACACCCCAACTCCTATACCCTAAACCCCACATCCTAAATCCTATACCCTAAACCCTACACCCTCATAATATCCTTGCAGCGCCCTTCATCACCCCAAGGCCCCCCCGGGAGTAGCCGACCTCCGAGACCCCTACACGGCGCCGCAAGCTCTCAGCGTCCTCGAAGAAGGCCTGGATTCAGGGCTTTAGGGGTTTTATGGTTGAAAGGTTTAGGGGCTTAGAGTTACGGATTTAGGGCTTCTTGGGTTTTTAGGGTTTAAGGGTTTATCGGCTTAGAGTTATGGGTTGGGGGTTTAGGGTTTTAGGGGTTTGAGGGTTTAGGGGCTTAGGGTTACGGGTTTGGGGCTTTAGGGTTTAGGGGGTTATTTAGGTGTACGGGTCTTTGGGTGTAGGGTTTCAGGGTTAAGAGTCGGCAAGGATCAACGACGTGCTCCTATAAGGGTTCATGCTACTATGTTACTACGGATTTCGTGAGGGTTCAAAGAAGGGCTTAGGGTTCGGGGTTGAGGAATTAGGGTTAGGGCTCTGTGGGTTACAGTATAATTTGGAACTAGGATTTAAGGTTGAGGGGTTGGGGGGTTTGGATGTAAGGTTTAGGCAGATATGGCTCAGGTAAGATGTCGGATTCAAGGTAGAGCGAGTGTCCGACATGCTGATTATTGCAGGCCCTTCGCTACCGCATTTCAGATCCCCCACCACAAGGGGGCTCGTGACTCTCGCAAAGATACCCAAGCTTTGCCGGACATTGTCCCAAAGAGCCTGAAAAAAGGCATCGAAGATTGAGATATAGGACCTGTTGTGCGCTCAATCAGCGGACTCAACTCGGGCTCAAAAGCCTGTCTGTAGGTGTCGAGGATACAGTTTCCCCAACAGACGGTCGCCAATGAGCGCACCTCAATCTTCCGGGGCTCCTTCGGGTCTCCAACTCCCAGTGCGTCTGCGGCGTCTGCGTGCTCGGCGCGGATCTTCGATAGAGGACCAATATCCTGGGGACTCAACACAAACCCCAAACCCTAAACCCTAAACCCGAAATCCTAAACCCTAAACCCTAAACCCTAGACCCTAAACCCTAAACCCTAAACCCTAAACCCCAGTTTTGCGCTTCAGGCTTTGAGCCACGCCTCCCGGAACTAAACAACCAAAACAAGCCCTCGTTCTATAGATCCTTTAAAGGAACCCCTATAGATTCATAGGCCCCTTTAATTTTTCCTACGTGCAGACGAAAGGTCTGAGCACAGAAGCCTAGCGAATGTTATGGAATCAAGACATAGGATCGCGTATCTTAGCAGCAGAAAAAGTGAAACATACGGAGTATCGTCTATACTTGAAACAGTTAATCTGCCTGTGACGTAAAAATACGCATGAGGGGAATATCATGAAGCGTGTATTGTGTGCCTGCAATACGACTTATGTATGTACGAGAAACTGATAGGTGCAGCTGGGCAGCCTGCCTGAAGGTCGCGGTGCTGCTCCGCGCATTCGATGACGAGCATTCGGCAGCATTCGGTGAAGAGAATTCGGTGATGTATGTGAGGTTCGAACATGTCGACGATCTGTTGTTGAAGGTTTTCCAGTGCTGGAATTTGGCTAACTTAGAGTTAATTGTTTTGTGGCTTTTTGGCAAATATTCCCTGTCTTGCTTGTGCTTGTTGTATTGGGTACTGCCGATGCTCATTGTTCGCATCATCATAGCTCTCGGGTCGTCCTAGCAAAGCGAATGCATCTTTAAAAGTCTCCAGTAGCCATGATGCTCTTGGTTTACCCGGACGTCTGTATTCAAGTCTAGGTCTATTTGAATATGGATCCAACAAGACTTGCTTCGTGGGGGGTCTGTTTCGAATCAGTTCTTAATATGTGTCCCAGTAGTCTTACCTTTCTTGTCATCCATGTTAGGGAAAGCTTTTCAATGAGGTGGTGGCGATTAGTCTTCAGGATGTCTAACACTTTCTGATTCGTGTAACTACGGTCGATAAAAGTGGGAGGGATCTTTAGGATGCGGCGAAGTCCTTTCATCTGAAATGCATTAAGTTTATTTAGATCAGACTGCGTAAGCTGTATGCATTCAAGCCCATATAGCACTTTGCTTTTCAAAACTGAATCGAACACCCTTAGCTTCCATTTCGCTGTGTTTTGAGCCTTGTTCCAAAAAAGTTTTAGTTTATTGCATGTGACAGTGGCATCTGCAATGCGATTACAAACCTCTCGGTGAGTATCTACAGTGTCTGTCAATAATGAACCTAAATATGTGGCTTCATGTTTGCGTGGAACAAGTGTCCCATCCATATATTTAACACTGGATATTCCTTGATTCAGAGTAAGGTTAATGTATTTGTCGTAATTCAAGCTCATGTTATAATACCTGGATTCGGCTTGAATTGCGTGTAACAGCTTGTTTATTGTATGCGTATGGGTTCCAAAAACTAGTGTGTCGTCTGCGTATAATATTTCTGCGAATTCTATCCCAGGTAAAGGTTCTCTTTGCTTTGGAGTGTTTAACTTGGTTTTAATATCTTTGAACATTGCAGACATTAGTAATGTGAATAAAAACGGTGAGAGGGGGCAACCTTGACGAATCCCAGACTCTTGCGATTTATATTCTGAACATTGGGTGTCCACTTTGATCCTGAATTGTGGATCTTGGTACATGTCAGTAATCAACCGATACATATTCGGGGGTACTTTTAGCCTGCGTAGAACCTGTAAGAGTTTTGTTTGGTTGACTTTGTCGAAAGCTTTCTCCCAATCTAACAGGATGAGTGACAGGTTTGAATGTTGTCTTTCGGCTAAATCCAATAATCTTCTTGCTATGAAAATAGCTTGTGTTGTTGACTTCTTGGGGCGAAATCCGTATTGTGATTTTTGGATCCATGGGTCGTAGGCGTGTAGTAGACGTGCTCTTATCATACCTGTTAGTAGTTTATAGAATACTTGCAATAGTGCAATTGGTCTGTAGTTTTGCATTTGTGTGGCATCTCCTTTCCTGTAGATAGCAACTAAATTTGCTTTTTTGAAAGACTCCGGGAACTCGCGGTTGTGAGTCATGTCGTTGTATAGAGAGATAGTAAAGAATTTCGATTTGAAACGGAAAGGCATTTCACTAGCTCTGCTCGGCATCCATCCGGTCCTGGAGTTTTGTTGTTTTTTTTTTTTGCGCATCATTTATTTCCTCAAGCTCCGGTAGAGTAAAGAGTTCGTCATTCATCTGCTCGTACCTCCTATAAGTGGAGTAGACCCCTTTAAAGGAAGCCCTATAGAGTCAGAGATCCTTTAAAGGAACCCCTATAGGTTCATAGATCCCCTTAAAGGAACCCCTATAGGTTCATAGATCCCTTTAAAGGAACCCCTATACTTCTTCCTGGCACTTAGACCCGCGCTTAAGTCCCTAAAGTACCCGAAAAGCGATACACACATCCAACAACGACGCCAGACGCGAAGTCTTGAAACAGTTAGCCCTAAGGGTAATCATCGTAGAAAAAAGTATGATCATAATGACAGCAATTATCATAAGGAACCCCCCCCCCCAAAACCTATTCTAATTACTCAGGCCCTTACATTATTCATAATAACCCTAAACCCCAAGCCATGGCCTCGTTGTACCTGGCGACATCCCAGCGACAGGCCCGCAGCAGACAAATGGCTTCGTCTTCCTCCACGCCTTGAATCGGCTGCGTGCAGTTTGGGGTTTTGGGGATTAAGCTAAATGGTTTAGGGTTTAGGGCATAGGGAGTTTAGGGATCTATCAGGAACCCCACCACTACACGGCAACGAATATGGCATTTAAACTTATGCCAGCGCAGATACCCACACAGTGAAGGAGCACCACGACGGCCATGCTAACCACGACGACCACCAGGAGACCACCAACACACAAAACTAAGACCACCAAACCCTAAAACCCTAAAACCCTAAACCCTAAACCCTAAACCCTAAACTGGCGGATTCAGGGACCCAGGGCCACGCCCGAAATGCTTTCTCCCAACTACTGAAACGATTCAGGAGGACGGCGCTTATAGCTTGTGCTTCCCTGGTAGCTAAGAAAAAGGGCTCAAAATTGCTCAAAATGCTTTCTCCCAAATACTAGCGCGAAAGGTGACCCAGAGTTTGCATGCGGCGACGCGAACCAATAATGCGTAGTCCGAACGCTAGAACCCCATAAAGTGTGGACCACACTGTTCGGGGAAGAGTAGAGGGGTACCTGAGGCGACATTCGAGGGGTCTTCAGCCCGCATGCAACCCGGAACCCGCCTGTGCATTCCACAGCTTCGCACACAAGGCGTTGCTGCTCCTGGCGTCGTTTGGGGCGGAAGATGCTTGAGCTGGGCGGGGCTTTGCTTCGGGTTTACGGTGGAGGGCCTCTTGAGCCTGCCTACCCTAAACCCTAAACCCTAAACCCTAAACCCTAAACCCTAAACCCTAAACCTTAAACCCTAAACCCTAAACCCTAAACCCTAAACCCTGAACCCACCACCCCTGTATTGCATTTAAAGCCTCTACTCTAAACCCCCAAGCCTTAAGAACGCCCTCAAGTCAGACCCAAGCCTCGTACCCTAAATCCCTCAACTCCTCAGGCTCATCGACTCCTCCCTAACATCCTAAACCTTAAACTGCCCAAAACCCACGTTTCTGTAGGTCCTTGTAATAAACCCTAATATGGAGTTGAAAGGGACCTTATTATAAACCCTAATATGGAATTGAAAGGGACCCCTACAAAAAAAGTAGGTTTTGGTAGGCTAAGGTAAACCTTTAAGCCAACCTGGGTCTTTCTGGCGAAGACGAGTGTGGTAGTGCGTAGGGGTTGAGGTTTAGGGGTTCTAGGGGTTTTAGGGTTTTTGGGGTTTTTTTTGGGGTTTTACAGGTTTTTTGGGGTTTAGGGTTTAGGGGTTTAGGGTTTAGGGGTTTAGGGGTTTTAGGCGTTTTCGGGGTTGGGGGGGTTTTGAAGTTTAGGTTTGAGAGTGTTCAGTTAGTTGGCTGAAGACTTTCAGATGATTTTGGACATGTTGACCTGACCAGTCCTTCTCTGTAGCATGTGGGCATGGAAAAGGATGCTCACAATCACAGGGCTTCACGACGTGTATCTTGATAGTGGATTCAAGCCAGCTCGATTGAACAGCAATAATGCACGGCTTCTCTGCGCAGGCACAATTCACATCGACAGGGCGCCGAGCACCTCCAGCAAAAAACAACGGCATGAGGAGCAGATGCCTCATCGCCGGCATGAATGGCTACTCGCCCACGTTCTGTGTGGGCCCTGAGCCTCAGAAGCTGACGACCTCCCTCAATTTGGGCGACAGAAAGCCTCAAAGGCCTCCGTGTGCCAAGGCCGCGCAAGCGAGCGATGCAAGTATGAGAGTTGCGGAGACTTGGGTGGATTCAAATGTCGATTCTCACCTTCCCATCAACTTTGCAGGCTGCGCTCAAGGAACTGGCATGGACGTCGAAGGCGCTGAAATATCGTACATGGCATTAACCCCCAAGTCCTCGACCTGACTTGAGAAGCTCTCGCACACCGATCGGACCGAAGTGTAGGCTTCTGTCCTCCTTCATCCAACGGTCTCAACGACAAATGCCGAAATGGAGGCTGGTGTCATAGGGGCATGCTTCTCTCCTACACCGCAGCACAAGCTATCCGATTCTCCAGCCTGGGACCCCAGGATTTCTCCTAGCGAAAAACAGCATCAGGTGCGGTCGCACACCGATCCGGCCGAATCTTTGCCTCTCTTAGGGGTCTTAGGGTTTTGGGTTTAGGGTAAAGTCTTGTGTTGCCCGGAAGTGGCTCCGAGCAAACCTGCCCCCCGTCTCAGTTCCGAGCAGCGACAAAAACGGAGCCAGGCTCTGGAAGCGACCCGAACGAGAGATCGGTGAGCAGCAGGTTGGACCTCCCTACTGTAATTGATGTAGTGCAGCCAGCGGCTCCAAAGGGGCACGTGGTACCTTGCCGAAACTTGGTGTCAGGTGACATACACCGGATTGTGGATGCCCGCACCCTGGCCAATGACCGGGGTGCGGGAATCGACAGTCCGGTCTGTGGCACCTGGTACCAAATCTGCAAGGTATCGAGTCGACCCCTTCTGGTGGCCCAAAGGATGTTCGAACCAACAGTCCGCATGCAGATCCAAATCGGCACTGCACTTTGCCGGCCTGTGACATGCTGGATGCTCTAAAGACAACGCAAACCCTAAACCCTAAACCCTAAACCCTAAACCTTAAACCCTAAACCTAAGGATCCAGCGCATTCAGGGTGTAGTTTTGAAGACGCTTACTGAGCTTATAGCTAGCTCCAGATTCGCTGCCTTGTGCGTTGAGGGCTCATATAAGAGCGACGCGGTTGTTTAGGGTTTAGGGTTTAGGGTTCTAATATTGGCAAATGCTCCGAATTTGGTGACATCATAAACGGCTTGTTCCATCATGAAGCCTAGCAGCCCGAAACCCCAGCCCTAGAGAAGGCCCTAATTACAGTATGTGGGCACTGGAACCACTGAACCTGTCGCCCAGCAGCTGGAGTTGAAAACCCTCAGAATAAAGGTAACCCTAAACCCTAAACCCTATATAGCCTATATACCCCAAATCCTGAACCCTAAACCCTATATACCCCAAATCCTGAACCCTAAACCCTAAATCCCAACGCCCTAGAGCTCTGAGCCATCAAGGTTGACTCTGCAAGGACCGAGCTGGACTTGGGGTTCTCGGAGACGGAAACTTCCAGGTCAGATCGGGTTCGGAGCGAAATTCAGGGTGTACTCCAGGCCCAGGATCCGGGGTTTAGGGCTTAGGGGTGTAGGTTTAGGATATAGGGTTTAGGGGTTTAGGGTTTATAGGGTTAAGAGTTTAGGGTGTAGGATTTAAGGCTGAAGGTCATCTGGAAGCATCCGGCCCTCTGAAACACGCTGCCTGAGCTTGATTGATGCTGGGGCTCGAGCCATTAAAAATGGCGTCTGGCAAAGTGCCATGGCCAAAGGTCGTAACAGGAATTATGCAAGTATCATACTGCTAAATGCCCTAAACCTTAAACCCTAAAGTAAACCCAAGCCCAAGATCATTTCGAGGTCTGGGGTCTATCTCAAGCTATCGTAGCCTATCGTGTTTTGACGTCCGCATGAATTCCATATTGGGGTTTGCATTAGGACTTTGCAATACCACACCGCGAATGATTTCTAATACCTAAAGCCCTACTACGACGATTTAGGTTCTCGGACTCCTAAAAATTAAAAATCAGCCTGAAGCCACCAGGTGCCTCTTGCAAAGCTCCGGTGCCGTTGAAGATGTGATTGGGCGGCGCATCTGCCCGAGATTTTGGGCAGGGATTGAGAAAAAACCACATCCCGAAGCTGACGCTTCGGGTTTATGGGCAAGATTCAGGGCTTTCTGATTTTCCGGTTTAGGGCTTTGGGCGTTTGGGGGTTTAGGGCTGATAGGGTGTTGAGTTTTTTGGGCTTCTAGGGTGTAGGGTGGGCTTAGGCTGGCGTTGCTCCCAAGACACAACGCCAGTTGCGATAGTCGTACATGGGGCAAGCCCTATGCTTTAGCTACCCCAAAACCCAAGCCGGCGCGCCTTCGACTTGTACAGCTTTTGGGCTGTCCTTGCCAGGGGCAAATGACATGGCCTTCATTCTTCATTAAAGCCATGGTCCTTTCCACCTAATCGGTAGAACCCCCCCCCCAACCCCCAGCCGCGAATGTGAACTGCGATCCACCATTCCTCTCAATGCCACCCCAAAGATATGTCAGCGATAGTAAGCCCATAAAAGTAACCCTAAACCTTAAACCGCTTAAACCCTAAACCTTACACCACCAGACCGGCTAAACCCTACTTCGGGCCGATGTTTCGAGGAGACCCATACCGGAATGGACATTGAACTGACCCAGAGGCGCCTAGGAGGGTTTGAGGCCTTCTCGGCGCTCTTAGACACCGTTTCGAACACTGCCTTTCGCACCTGTTACGACTTAACGTTTAGTGACTCTTGGTTTAATGCCGTCTTTTTTACATCATGCTGGGAAAGACGTTAAGACACATCACCCTGCGGCATTGCAGCTTCAAGCGCACGAGGAGATTGCGGGGGATCTCCTCCAAGGATAGAAGATCCTCGTCGTCGTCCTCGAAGGAATACCTTTCTTCAGAGGGCTTTGCGGCCGAGGGTGCAATGAAAACCCAGGAGCCCGATACACCTTGAGTCAAGGACTAGATTTCGAACAGAACTAGGCCTCTTGCTAGGATGCGGGGCATGTGCCAAAATCCTAAACCCTAAACTCCTAAACCCTAAACCCTGTACTATGCACTGGGAGCATGCACTCTCTGGTTTAATACATAACAAGGCTCTTGTCTTCATTGAGTAGTTCGCTAAAGTAGTGTCCCGTTCTAGGTCGCCAATATACGGCACCCTTATCATAAAAAGGACACTGAGACGGGCCCTAGTTTAGAGAACTACCCTATAGACGACTAAACTAAACCCTAAACCCTAAACCCTAAACCCTAAACCCTAAACCCTAAACCCCCAACCCCTAAACCCCTAAACCGACTGTACAGGGCAATTGGGGTCGTGTCCACCCGTAGGGTTGAACACTGTGACAACTCGTAACATCATAGTAGATACGTGCCTTCAATAATTAGAATATGGTTTTGGGGCATAGTATAGTATAGTCATAATAAGGAACCTAAATGGATGTACAGGGAACATAGGCTTTCAAAGTAATTTGATTGATTGGAACAGGTTTGAGGGAGACTCAACATGGATATGATCGAATATGATCTTGAGATTGGCCTCCTAGGATTGCGTCCCACAAACCCCCCTCAACAGAGCCCTCTCGGTCTTTAACAGTGGGTGTTCTAAGGCAAGGTAGCCTTGCAGTTACGTGCAGAGGGCAGGTAGACACCTGTGGGCTTTGGGTTTCCGGGTTCAGGGCCTTAGAGGGAAACCTTAACATCTAAACCCTGAACCCTTAACCTTGAACCTTAAACCCTAAACCTTAAACTCTAACCCTAAACCTTAAACCCGAAACCGTGTCCAGATCGTGCCCGGGGCACTGCGTGTGAGCTGAGTTCCGCGACGTGCCGCGGAGGAGCTCCGGAGGCACCGACAGCGCTGCATCCATGGGCTCGGACGAAGTCAATTTAGGGTTTAGGGTGTAGGGCTTCAATCCCAAGCACTCCGGAATAGCTCTGAAGTGTTGTAGCTTGATTGTATCAGCAGCAAATAACACTAGCAGCAGTTCTTTGTCAGGGCTGCTGCAACACACAAGGCAACAGGCGTGTGGTTTTGCAGGTGCACTGCATATGGGCTTTAGAAGTAAGCTCGTCCCTAAAAGCCCGAATTCGTTGGCTTTTATGCTTGGGATCCAAAGCAACTGGGCTTCTCAAGTTGTAGTAGTTGTGTCGGGGTTAGCGTCCAGGGTCCAGGGTGAGTTTCAGGGTCGAGGCTTAGAGACCTACTCCTACGCTGTACAGAAGCGATTGGCTTCGGCACGACGAGATGTCCGGCATACACTTTTCGAAAAGTGGTGTTCACCGAAAGCCTTCTGCATGCATAAAATATAAGACAAACATACGCCCTGTGCAGATTGCCATACAAACCCCAAAACCTTGCAGTGTCCTACAGAAACGTGAGGTTTCGGATTTCGGGCGCGCCTGGGACCCAAAAGCCCTAAGAGACCTCTGTTGACCCTAAACCCTAAACCCTAAACCCTAAACCGTCAGTCCGATGGACTGGAGCTCCAGAACCCCAAACCCAAAACCCCAAGCCCTATAAACCCGAACAGCCCCAGAACCTACCCCTTAGTCACCTTTGTGGGGCATAGGGTTTAGGGTTTAGGGTTTAGGGGCATAATGATGCCCAGTATGGACACCCTACGTCTTAGTATGTCGTTCTGTTATGAACATCAAGTCAACTTGAAACCTGCGCTCCGAACAACTCAGCCCGACAGTAAGCACCATGGGTTTAGGGTTTAGGGTTTAGGGGTTTAGGGTTTAGGACCTCAATGCCAAAACCTTGGAGTTCTAGCCCCAATTCCCCTCACTCTCTCGTTTTGCAGGGATCGCTGGCAATTTAGAGTCTCCACTAAACATGCCAAGCGCTCTTCTTCACTTGCGCCTGCCGACGGCATCCTAAACCTACTGCTGATGGGTTTAGGGTTTAGGGTTTAGGGTTTACCCGGCATCGTGACACCATGCGTGTCGGTGCTGGCACGCGTAAATTGCAACGAATCGTCTCCGGCAACAAATCGAAATCCAAAAGACACAAAGAAGTTCCCTACTCAGAACGCAGTACTGAATGAACACGTGAGTGTTTGGAAAGAGCGGCAGATTCAAGAGTACGATAGGAGCCAGAGTAATTTGACTGGGGTTTGGTATACCCCTAAACCCTAAACCCCTAGGTTTAACCCTAAAGCGTCTATAAAGGAATAGTACCACCGAGACACTACAACCTGCAAAATATGTATCCCACACACTCAAGCCAAACCTAACGTCAATAGGGTTTAGGGTTTAGTGTTGCAATCATGTGCCTCTCTATACCAGGGCTGCAATGTGATGGTCGGAACAACTCCAAGGATCGCTAGTAAGGGATGTTCCATCGTGAAAGGGAGCTTCCTAAATCCAAAAGCAAGGATTCGTCACATCAGCTTAAACCGGTGAAACGACGACAGCGCCAGACCGAATCGTCGCGCAGAGACCTTTGCACTCAGCCCTGGGGAACGGCTTCGGGCTCGGGGCCTGCAGCTTAGTTTTGATCAGCTCACTTAGTTTACTTAGGGCTTAGGGCTTGCGGCTTAGATCTTTTGATTGAGCAGGTCTCTTTCGTATCTGATTCGTATAAACTCTGCCAGTTGGGTCCGGATTCGGCCTGGTGTTTGCTGTAGGGCAAACCTGCAGCGCATGATGCCCGACAGACCCCATCCAGGCAGAACAGCTCTCAAGCGAGGTGTCTGCTATCGAGGAGAAAGCCTATTGCAAAGGTACCGTGTGTGCCGCCCGAACACCCTATCACATAGGAGGTTATAACCCCTTATTACGCTAGGGCATAGCCTCCAACATGCTGGCCTCACTGTCTTTTGGCGAAGGGGGCTTACTTGCATAATGGTATCATGCTCTGACGGTCTGGGTCACTGAACCCTAACCAGGCGAAACACGAAAAGCTTCACGCCCGGAAAACAACATGAACCTTTTAAACTTGGTTCTGAAAGATAAGCTGGCGTCGTAGATCAACTCGTCACTCGGATGAAGGGTTTGGGTTGTATAGGTCTCATCAGCCAGGGTCCTGGTTCGAGCATTGAGATTTATCGGCTTGTGGCCTTTTTTCGGAACATCAGCCGCCTTGAAGACCAAACTCAAAAGCCCTGGAACCTTTGTGTGTTGGAGCACGGCCGCCTTGCAATAAGAACCTCATTCCAGCTGCTCAGCAAACGAGGCGCCTGCCGAAGTCGAGACACCTTCCTGAGGAGCTGTTTCCGCTTAGGTAGGAGTTAGGATTGGGGGGAACCCTTGGGGAAAAATCAGGTCCCTTTTAACAGAGCCACAGCTAGGGTTAAGAAGAGTCACAGTCCCCTTTAAGGGACTTGTTTGGTCTTAGGTTATAGGCTTAGGGCTTAGGGGTTTAGGGTTAGGGCTTAGGGAGTTTCGAGCTTTTTTCAAACTTAGGGTTTTCGGGGATTTCAAGCTGTTTTGGATGTAAGGTTTTCGAAGGCGGGATCATGTGCTTGCAATGGCAGGGCCGACAATACCTGTTCAGACACGGCCAACTTTGGCAAAAAATTGCTGTAGAGGGTCCTTCCTTAAGCCCCCCAAACCTACCTTGTTAAGGCTACATTACTCAAAATAACGAGTCACATAAGCCATAAGCGTAGGATTGTCAGGATGTCGGCGCCCCGAACCGTCGACGCTTCCCCGAAATGCCTTTTCTGCAGGGTCCTGAGACCCTAAACATCCCTCATGTAGGGGCCTTAATAATTCGAATCGGGGTTTGACGCCCCTTATACGAGAACTATAATAAGGAGCCCCCCTCCCCCCCCAAAAAAAAAATAGTATCGGAAATGATTTAGGCCTCTATATCAAACCCTAAACCCAAGTTTCGATCACTGCGGGTTTTGGAAGAAGAGACTCCTGAAACCCTAGCCCCACTACCCTGAACCCTGCAACACCCTGATCCCAAATCTTTAGGGTTTAGGGTTTAGGGGTCCCAAATGTCGACCCTGAGCCCTAAACCCTAAACCCTAAACCCTACAACCCTCAACCCTAAACCCTAAATCTAAACCCAAATCTCGACCCTGAGCCCTAAACCCTAAACCCTACAAAACCGAACCGCGCCAACCCCTGGCTCCGAGGTGCTGGCGAAGGGTCAGAAGAAGCGGCTGTAGATGTCCTGCAGCCCCGGCCTCGGCGTAGTAACAAAGAGGCCTTTATAGCTAGAATATGGCTTTGGGGTATATGGTGTATAATACAAGTACTGGTAATACTAAGATTCAAAATGCTCATAACAATACCGTCAAGAAATCCTGAGGCCTGTCTACTGTTGATGATATAAACCCTACATTACCCTAAGTTACCCTAAGGACTATGGGAAGTACGGTATCCCTAAACCCTAAACGCTAAACCCTAAACTTCCTTTTTATGGGTAACGCAGGATCTCTATCATCATCCGTCGTGCGCAGGGCTGAGGATTCTGGGGGGAAGGGTTCTTAAAAAGAGGGTTTTTAAAAACAGAAGAGGGTTGTTAAAAACCATTTTTTTTTAAACCCTCTTTTTTTAAAAACCCTCTTCTGCTTTGGAGCCCTCGGGTTGCAGGGCCTTGGACCTGGGGCTTACCTTGCAGGCCAAGAGAGCTAGAATTGCTACGGTTCAGGGTTTTGGGGGTTTAGGGTTTTGGGTTTAGGGTTTTGGGGTAGTAGTCCACCGAAGAGCATCTTATAGAGCAGACTCGGGTTTACTGCTACGTAGGGCTTAAGGGCAAGACAGTGGCCTCGATTTCCCGGTTTAGGGTTTAGGGTTTAGGGTTTAGGGTTTAGGGTTTAGGGTGCCCATAGGCCCCATTCTAAGGTAGAACCCATGGGCCCCTAGCATGGGCCCTTAACCCTGGGACCCTAATATACCTACTATATACCCTACTTCAAGAGTCGGTTCCAATCCCTCTCGTCAATCTGCAGCACACGAAGTCGGCAGACGTCAAAAGCAGCTGTTTTCGTTTTCCATGAGCGCTGCGATTTGGCTCGTGAACCCTCCCTTAAGCAAAGCGGCCGGTGCAAGAAGAAAGTGAGCAGCTGACAACTGCTCTCGCTGAAGAAAGGACCTGGCAGGTTCTTCACACCCTATATATACCCTTAGAATCCCCTAAGGGCCCATGTTAGGGGCCCATGGGTTCAACCTTAGACCCATAGTAGTTCCTTTTGGGGATTACCTTATGGTTTAAGGGTTAGGGCTTAGGGTTTATAGGATTCTAAATATGAACCCCCAAAAGAAACTACTATGGGGCCTATGGGTAAACCCTTGTTGGAGGACCTCCGAAAAGAAGTTACAGACGAAAGCTGTAAAACACAGCGAAACGCATGGCTACCAAACAAGAAAACCTGCGCACTTCCTTAAACCAGAATTACCCATAGGTCCCATAGTAGCTCCTTTTTGGGCTTACCTTATAGGATTCTAAATATGAACCCCAAGAAAAGCAACTACTATGCGGCCTATGGGTACCCTAAACCCTAAACCCTAAACCCTAGTCCCTAAACCCTAAACCCTAGGGTTTAGGGTTTAGGGACTACTATGGGGCCTATGGGTACCCTGAAACAAGTAAACCCTGCGCACTTTCCTTAACCCCCAAGTAGAGACGCCCTCCGAAGGCAGACCTTAAGGGTTTAGGGTTCACGGGTTTAGGGTTTAGGGTTTGGGGGTTTAGGGGTTTAGTTAAACCTTGCGCAGTATACATCCTGATCACCGGACTCCCACGCATTGAGGTGTCGACCCACACCGATGATCACGAAGGTGGAGACGCAGTTGACGATGCTGATTTTCTGCGGGCACATGTAGCCGAGGGCTGATAATGTTAGAAATCAGTTCAGGCTTGATCATCACAGTTCTGCCTACCCATCTGCCCCATAGTAGTTCTTTGTTG